TCCAATATTTTAGATTTGTTGCGAAGCGAAACACAAGAAACCATGCAACGAGGCAGCAAGAGTAAAGATTGAGCAACTTCTTATTTAACTTAACGAAGGTTCTGAGAAAGCCAAGATGAGGGACGAAATGGACTTGAACTACTCGATCGCATGGTCTGACACGGAATAATAACAACAATGAATAAAAAATAAACGATGAACAATATGCGAGCGATCGATGTTAAATATTTACATTTCAGCATTCTGATGCGTCACTCACATTGATAGGCAAAACAGCGTCACCTATCGACATTTCTACTTATTAACTGCCCTGCATAGTTTTATTCTTTTTTCTTTTCATGGGTGTTTGAATATACTAGGCTCCGTAATGGAGTCAGCCAGATCTAATTATGAAAGCAATCTTGATCCGACCATGACCTTAATTTAACCATTGTGGACAGATGGGTTCCAGTTCGTTACCCTTTTGCTATGACCGAAAGTTAGAACAATCTCAAGAAGAGACCAAATACCAGTTCTAGGGACATATAATTATTTATCCAAAAGCCACGATCTTGAAATACTTTATCTGTCTAGCGCAAAGACCTATAATTCACCACTCTTACAACTGTTTTGTAAGCTGTCATGTACAGCTGGTGCAGTACATAACAGGACAAGGCCGTTCAGTGCTTACAAGTTCTGAATAAGACACTGTGTGTCGCCTAGCCTGTTGTCTAACGTTGTTTTTAATGTTTGTAAAGTCAACTGGAGTGTGAAAGACACTTTCAAAATTTAGTAGAAAACGCCTAATATTTCCAGACATTATTTTTTTAAATGTTAGGCCTAACAATTTATCGTCACGGCTTCTTCAGAGGCTCGCTTTACAATGGTTTTTTTCTCCTAAATTTTAAAATGTCTAACGTTAAGCTTATAGATAAAACTTAATAGATAAAAAAAAACTGACCATCCATAAATCACATAAGAACTAATCACTATGAAGTTTAGTGAATTAGTATAAATATGTAATTTATTAAAACGAAGTATGAATAACACATTAAAGATAACTTAAATATTACATTCTATTTACAAATTGCAATTGTCTTAACTCTCTCCGATGTTCTTCGACTTCGTAAAACGTATTTTACGCATGCGCCATAAGAAATATTCACGCTCATTGGTGCAAGGAACTAGCTGCTTTTGCAATACCTCATATCATGCTGTAAAGTCAGATTTGCTGGTGCACATTATGAAAGCCAAAGCTACCCCACTCAGCAACTGACCGACAAACCCAATGAGGCCTGGGTGTTCGTCAACAAAAAACAGGGAGTCTTTTTTTTTTTTTTACGGCACACTGCACATGTTTGTCAGAGTAAACATTTATATACATACAAATAGTTTACTTTAAAAACCCATCTACTGAGGAAGATTATAAACACCAGAGAGGCCAGTGTGCAGAAATATTTTTAATTGTCAGTTTCAAAGTATTTTATATGTTATGATATAATGGTATAATACAATTTATATAATATTAACATTCAGGTATATATTGAAAAAGTAGGTTTATTATTTCATTACTAGCATTATTTAAAAAATTCACAGAAGACAGGCACTTTCAAGCACACAAATCTACTATAGGTACTTCCAGTTTCTGCCTACCAAATGGAGTGAGTACCGGGACGTCACGGTGATTTATCGTATAAGCCTGAGGAAGGTATTTGCTTTAGGCCTTTGCAGACTGTTATGGAAGATTATAACTAAACTTTTTAACTTGTAAGACTTCAGTTGCAGTCATTACCTTCAGAATAATTGAGCTTAAAAAATTCAAATTGGGTATATTGTACAATCTAAATTAAAATGTACAGTTCATACGCTTATATATTGATAAATGTTATCCAGGCCTAAAACTGAAGAGATAAAACTATTTATCTGTTATTTTATCATTACTAAAGCCAGAAAAGTAAGCAGTTAACAACAATACATAGTGTGGGGCACGGATAAATATTTTATTCATTTATCATTAGAATCTTTATTGGGTAATTCATGATATTTTTACCAAGTTTAGATTATTATTGCTGTAGATAAGCTAGGCCTAAGGTGGTAGCATTAGGCTTAGCGATGCAGGTACATACTTCCACATTTTGTATTTTTAGCTTTTCAGGGCAGTAGTTACTTTACGAAACAGACCTACTGAACAATAGCCTTATTCAATCTCAATGTCACTAGCTCAAAAAGAGGCTGGACCTGCTGCAGTGTTACCGTAAACACTGCGACCGGTATGAATAAAACCGCTAAGAGTGACCTTTGGCACAAACTTAATCGTTGTACTTGTATTTCCCGCAGTTATTATCAAGGGCTTAATCGCCAAACAAAAAAGCCGTTATAAACGAAGTTGAAGGTAAGTTCCATAGCCATCATTACCGATCGGCTCGACAATCATTGAAACAATGTTGAAACTAGATACGATGTTAATATATAGACTTATACACGAACTTTTTTTCTACGTTAAAATACTTTTATTTGCGAGCTTTTAGCCCTCTTACCGGAGCCTCCATCGGGCAACAATGTAATGAGCACTAAAAATTCATTTAACTGTGAAATATTGCTTTAAAATAGGTATATAAGCAACAATTGTAACAATAACGGATATCAGGTAAGTTATTTAACATATAGAATGATGATGAATATAGAAGATAAATCGATTGCTTCAATATAATAAATATAAGGTAAATACAATTATAGGTATTATATAGAGAAATAAAAATAAAGGAATTTTTCATACTTCAAATAATACATTGTAAAATGAAAGAAACCACGACAAATAATATGTTTTACGTCTTTGATAAATATAGTCCATGCAGTATTAAGTAATTCTTGCCCATTTTTTCTATAAACACCCACTGGTGGTCCATAGTCTTGTGCTTGGATGACAACAGCGTCTTTGATTTTTCTCCCTTTGGTGTTATGATATATAACAGGTTAAAAAAAATCAGAAAAAAAAATTCTATAAACCGAAAATTTTCGAAAAGTAGATATTTCTTCAAAAGTTTGCCCCTAATTAAGAAAAGTACTTTTGGAAAGCACTCGAGTTATAGGGTTTCTTACTTTTGTCTAAAATACTTTAGGTGTTTGAATTTTATTATTTTAAGTATGAAAAATTAATTTATATTTCTCTGTATAATACCTATAATTGTATTTTCTTTATATTTATTATATTGAAGCAATCGATTTATCTTCTATATCCATCCTAATTCTATATGTTTAATAATTTTAATACCAGATGTCAGTTAATGTTACGACTGTTGCCTAGATATCTATTTTAAAGCAGTGTTCCACAGCTAAACGAATTTTTAGTGCTCAGTACATTGTTGCCCGATGAATGCTCCGGTAAGAGGTCCGAAAGCTCGCAAATAGAAGTATTTTAACGTAGAAAAAGTCCATGTATAATCTAACATATATAAAAGCCAGTGTGTGTCACGTCACTCTTGATTTCTCGAAAAGTCCGTGTATAATTTAACCTATATAAAAGCAAGTGTGTGTTACGTCACGCTTGATTTCTCGAAAAAGGAGGAGTCATAAAAGCCAAAATGCATTTATCCTGATAGAATAGTTCGATTACTGTCTGCCCATTACGATTTTAGTGAAGAGGGTGAAAGGGGTCTGTAAGGGTGTGTGTGCCGTGAAACCTTATAAATGTAGTGAGTGATGATATAATAAGCCTAAAGTAAAGACGTAGTATAGGATCACCTAGCCTAGAGCCAAGTGCATAAAATTTATCATGAAAATGAAAATATCGATTCAATTTTAATTATAAATCGTTTCTGAATTAAGCTATTTTCTGTTATATCACCAACATTTTTTAATAAAAAAACCTCTTTAATCAACGGAGACTAAATTAAGAAATCAAATATTTTTCCAGTATTGTTGTCTATACATTTCATTTTATACTTTCAGTACACAGATTATCAACAATATTAGGCTATACTTTTATTGCTTAGCAACATGACATAAAAGCCATTGTTGGAGCAGTGTTACCAAAACGTACCGGCTTTTCTATATATTAGAAGTGTTAATCTAACCGATTTCTACCAATAACTATTCTATGAATGCGCCACGAATTCATTTCATGAATGATCTTAATTTTGGCTCACAAAAGAATTTACCGACGTTTGACTACCTCGACTGCACTTTTCTGCCTCTTTGTTGGTCAAGTTTGATTTCGCAAAATTTATTTATTTCAGTTAGCTATGAAATGTGAGGTTAGGGTACACTATGGTGTAGGGGTGGTATTACTTGCCTCGTCATTTTTGACGGGCTATACGCTAGTTTTACATAAAAACCTGTCACGTTAGGTTGACTAACTTTTCTATGCATGTAGCCTAATGCGTACCGGTAACCACGGTGACTTAGATGTCAACAATAATTGTCGTATACATAATCATCTAAAATTTCTAAATTAAATAGGCCTACATCGCTTGTTGCTTATATATATATGCACATTAAAGTCAGATCTATGATGTTTTTAAAATACAATTAAACCGGTTTAAACATTTGAGAATCAGCCATTAAGCCCTATGTTATAAGCCACCTGTACCTTTATTGCTTGAATAATAGAAGGCCTAGGTCTATTAAATTAGTGTATCAGAATAAAACTTAGATCTAAGATACACAAGTATAGATCCATGCAATCACAGTCCTTCAAGACCAATTTTACAAAGGCACACATCAAATAACTACATCTAGTGAAACAAATTTAATTGCATGTATTTTTGGTCTATATATAAAACCACACATTGCCATTGTCCCAGAATTAATACATAGGGAGAGACTTATATATCGTTTATTATAAATCTAGTCAAACAGGCTCAGTTTAATACATTTAATTTAATGAATACTTTCAAACAAGCATAAATTACAAACTAAATATATATTTTTGTTTTGCATTATATCTATGTAAACACTGAAAACATTTATAATTATAGCGAAGCCACAAGTCCCTAGTTATCGCTCATATACGACTACTTTACCTTGAAAGACGGGCCTTCATCTCGCTTAACAGCCACGATCCATTTCTTCCGAAAGTCTCTATTTGAAGGGAATTGGTGGAAAGATACGTTTTTTTGTATCGATTGACACTTGTTTTTCTTTAGAACACCAGTGGTTGCTGCAATTCGGCACCGAACAATGGGTCATGTTGTTGTTAGCACTAGCAGTGATAAGCCTCGATTTGAAGTCTTAATGGCGAAAGCGTGATTTAGGTCTATTACTAAATTTTTAAATATTAAATGTATATTTCATGTAATATTTAGCGTATAATATATTAATATTTAATGTGTAATATACAAAATTTAATGTGTATCATAGCATATGAATTTGAAAAGCTGTGAATTCTGTTAGCAGGGTTTGATTTAAAGTCTTTTACTTATCACTAACAGCTTAAGGTACTTTGTTAGCAAAACACGTCGCTAGGTTCTTAAACGATTCGGGCTCATAGGCGCGGGAATTTTCGGCGTTTCAGTATGTTATTGGTCACGGATTTCTATTCTAATTTTTGAAGACACCAACTGGAGATTCGGGGCACTGTCAAAAAGAATCGGAGCACGAGCCCCGTGTGCCAGTGCCTAGCAACGCTTCTGATGTAGGTTAAAAACAAAATCAATTATAATCAGAAACATTTATATCCGACTATTTTCGAAAAATAGACCTCTCTTCAACAGTTTGCCCCTAATGAAAAAAGGTCTACTTTTCGAAAGCACTCGGGGTTATAGAGTTTCATATTTTTAACAAAATACCTTGGGTATTTGAATAATGTGTGACTATCCTTTCACAATTAATTATTCTTAACTCTTCAACGTACTAACTGTTAAATTGATTGTGAAGTTTTCTTTTCCTCATAAAATGTGTAGCTTCGGTGAAGAAGAGAGAATATTCGTGAATGACACTGTAGCATAATCTACTTTTCTTTTCTGCAAAGAAACTACACATTTTGTGATGGAAAAGAAGAAAAAAAATACAAGGAATTTTGTTGTTGTTGTACAAAGCTACACAATGGATTATCTGTGAGAAAAGAATCTCGGATTTAGCATCGAAAGACCTTAAGCTTTCCTCTTACCCACTGGAGGACGCGAAAAGTTTGGTAATTTCCCTTGTCATTTAAAAGGTGGATAGATGCAACTTAAATCAATTTGAATTACGCATTATCACTAGAACATGGGGGAATCCTCAATAGTCGCGGCACTTGATATTCTTTTAGGCAGGATTAGAATAAATTAATCTAAGATTCCTTTTTTTTTCCTTTTTATTAGCTATATTTCTGTGCGCCAACAATACCAAGCGTGGGGCGCGCGTATACCCGTTTCAATTTTATTATTCATCAGGATCTCTACCAGCCTACCCTCAAATTGAAATTATTTTAGGCAGGATTGGAGTAAATTAATCTACGAGACCTTGTTCGTGGTCAAATACACCAATCGAAATGGTTTGACCTCCCGAGTCCCAAACAGTAATTAGATCTCAAATCGGCCAAGAGATGGCGGAGCTATGAGCTAAAGGTTTGTACTTAAAAAACAAAAAACTTAGAGCCGTTCTATGAGCCGCTATGCCCCGGCTAAAAGCCTTGAGGATGTTACTGAAAGAGCAGAAGCTTGAGCTATAGTGACGTTTCTAGGATCTTTTTTTTTTTGGAGGGGAAGGCAGAAGGGGTCAAGTGGTATTAAATACAAAAGTAATAGGCTAGATGTGTCTATCTATTCTTTTTAATTTTTAAAAAGCTAAAATCACGTCAGGTTATCTTTGCAAAGTTTTGCGGCGGTTTGAGCTGTTTCAATCTACAATTAAACCCACCTCTAGTTCTTATATGATTGGAAATATTCCTTTCGATTAAGACTACCCCGCACGTCCAAAAAATTAACTTTTATATCAGTTGGAGTCACAATGTAGAGAGAATTTAAATCTTAAGACAAAATCCCGATATTCCAGTGGAAGAGGAGGGGGTAAAGTTATTTAATGAAGGTCTGCTCCCTCCCAAGACACCCCGTTGGACACAGCCCATTGTGCCTAACTCCTCCAACGTATAATAGACGTAGAAGTAATAATGTTAAAATACTCGTTTAATTTGAGTACTTGTTTTCCATTAATTAGATTTCTTTTAAATGATACATAATAATTAATAATGATAAAGAAAAAAATGAAAGTGGTTGCTTCCGGCCGGTTGCCTCCCTGTGGGTGGAATTAGGGTCTGCACTACGCTACCTGGACTGTGCACTATAGTTGAATGAGGCAGAGCCAGTGCTTTGGTCAATGCTAAACTTTTTTAATGTAATAGGAAAAACCATTCTTATCAAGAACCAGAATAATGTTTGGTTACTCATGTTTAAAGTAAGTTAATGTACTACAAATCTTGATAAGGTTATATTTAAACATTTCCGATATAAAACTTTCATAGTTATAATAAAAACCTATATATAAGTTTGCTTATGAAAGTGATTAACATCAAAGCTTTGAAGCAGTTTGCTGAACTATAATGTCTTGAAATGAGTATGAAATTATTCTCAAAATCAACGGAGAACCTAATGCTAGGATGTTTGTTTTCGTATGTTAAAATCAATTAGCCTGCCCCTTATTTTGAAATAATACAAAACATATCTTGAGCAATATAAAGGTTTGATTTAGTTTGTACAATTGGTCAACAATTGCCTTTCATGGTGAGAAAGGAATAAGTTTGCTAGTCTTGGGACAAGTCAAGAGCCAATAGCCACACCGTCTGCCTGATCAGAGATTGCATTTTTAAAAACAAAGTGGAAAGCCTTTGTACCAAATTCTAACAGTTTTTAAAGATACATTTTGGAATACTTTAGTCAATACTATGATATATAAGGTTTGTTTCTAGATCAATTGTTTCCCCTAGAGCAATATTTGTGAATAAATATTCCACAACAAGGCTTGCCATGAAAACAGTCATGAAAGGTAGTTTCTCTAATTTGTTTAGAAAACACTAAAACTGTCATGTACTGTAGATTCTGAAGAAGAGAAATTCTTTAAAGAGTTGAAGTAGTTATTTTTAATTAAAAGTACCAGTGGTGGACACAAAAAGTCTCAGGGGGATATTTGCTTTATGGGTTTTCAGTAGTCCATAAAGAATATCAAGATGATAGCCCGTAGGATGCAGATCATTATGAATAACATTTAAAAATAAAGTTATTTTTTTAAACTTCAATAAGAACTTTTGTAACTTGACTTCCCTAGTGGAAATGGGGTCTTTGTTTAGTTTCTAGAACTTAGTGGGATCATCGAGAACGTGTTCTACTTTATTATATAGTTAACCCTGTCAACATTATTACCTTTGTCAGGCTTAGTAATGATCGTATCCTTATTACGTTTTATTTACCGAGTATCCCCTTCACACCAAACATACTCGCCCTTTCTGCCGTAGGGGTGTTATAATGTGACGATCAATCCCACTATTCGTTGGTAAAAGAGTTGGCGGTGGGTGGTGATGACTAGCTGCCTTCCCTCTAGTCTTAGGGACGTCTAGCGCAGATAGCCCTCGTGTAGCTTTGCGCGAAATTCAAAACAAACAAACAAAAAATTTACTGAGTAGATTTCGTTTGTGTTGTTTGTAGTTATGGATAGCAGTAAGAACAATGCTGCTGACAGAGTACTAATTTGGCTCAAATTTCTTTGTCTTGTGTCTGATGTAAAATAGTCTCAAAAGAGGTAAAATAATTCACTAGATGCAGTTCTGTAGATTGCAGTGCAAATGATACAAGCTACTAGCTAAAACTTTCTTTGTTATGTTATTGAACTGATAATCGGTGATGTTATCTGGATTATTTAAACAGCTACCATTGTAGTGTGGATTATCAATTTAATTAAGCTTTTTCTTTAGCTGTTTGAAATTTATCCTATTTAAAATTCCGTTGTTGTGTGTTTCAAAAGAACTTATAATGTGTACATAATTAAATCAATAAACAATATTGACTAAGCCTGATAAAGCTGAATCAGACTTCTTGAAAAATATTTAGTTCAACCAGCCAGTTTTTTTAAAGCATAGATTCTATGACCTTCAACAGGCCAATGCCTTTAGTTTCAAACCTAAACAATGTGTCTATCGTCTAATCTTTAAATTTCTGTTTTATGTAATTTCTGCTTTACAGAATCTTTTAGTCTCTTCCTCGATTGACTAGAGCTTCGCTCAAAAACGAGAGAGTGAGAGAGAAAAATAAATGGGGTAACGTTATGCCCTTTTTATATAACTTTGCATTATTCGAAACAGCGCTGACAACTGTAAGGTTTGCAAACATTATTTTGTCAAATACAAAGTAGTCTCCCATGCATCCACTTTCCCGCGTTTTATTGAACCCCTCACTCTTCCTCTTCCTGCACCCTTCAACAATAGACTTCCTCGTCTACTAACAATAGTATTATTAATCTCGCTCATTGGAGAATGAGCAGCTTGAATAATTCGTAAAGAACTTTCACACGAGTTTATTCTTTAAGATCATACAAGTGATGCTGAAATGTTCCGTTGCATTTTACTCTATACCTTATAATCTAATGATGTTTTAATCATAACACATTAATAACTGACTATTTATTTACGATAACGCTTTACCAGTTTTATTATTAAGCACTTCCAGATGTATTTATTTTCAGTGGTCAGAAGAAAAACAACAACAAAAACTTGATCAAATAAGTGCTTTTGAATTGTTGTGGAAAACATCATTACACTTGGGTTTGTTACCTCTATTTATTTTATTTCCAAATGTGTATTTTTGTTCTGAAATAAAAAGCATTATATACCACACCTTTAAGTGATTCCACGAATACTGACTACTAATGTTTTGGGCAAAATCAGTTCTCATTAGTACATCTAGATAAATGTCACAGAATACCCCGATGGTACTTTATATATTTTTAATGTGGGAGTAAGTTTGTTGTTTTTGTGCATGTGTGTGAAAACATACACTTTATGCTACAATATTTTATTAATGCAATAAGTTCATTAGTGTTTCGAATTTTAAAATTGTTGTTGAATAAAGATCGTTTGTTTTTCATTCGATAATTTTAAACAATATTTCATTTCTAACAGTTAGTTTGCCCAAAATCAATTAATTTACATCTGCCAAGTAAAACATCAAGCAAAAAATAGCAGCACTCAAATAAACATAACAAACATTTTAACAAGAAACCTTACAATCTTGTTCACTCAGATACACAACGTGATACCGACAGACAAGAATAACATATAATTAAATAGAAACTGGCGTTAGGTTTCAACCAACTTTCAATCAATGACTCGTTATATTTTATAAATATTAAACCGCGACACTGTAAGAAAACATTTACAACAAAACAAAAATTTCTATTGTATAGCTAGTGCTTTATAGATAAAATTTAAAGAAAAAATTAGCTTATAAGAATATTCTTAGAAAAATCTTCTAAGTAAAATTAAATACCATCTTAAATCACCATGTCATTACAAAGCCACAATCAGATAAACCTTTATAACTGACTGATTGTTGATGTTAAATAACACACGCTTATACTGTAACACTTTTTTTTTCTTTTTGAAACTTTATCAAAGTGTCAGTTACACTCTATGTTTTAGTGAAACGTTCCTGAAGAAGTTATAAAGCGAAACATTGAGTGTCCAGTTAAAAAATAAAAATAAATTTGGTGTTATAAAGTCGTTTATTACTAGTATTGAAAGATTATGCAATAGTTTGGATTACCACAGTCTGAGCTACAGAAATATAAATTTGCTAAGGTATCACTCCTGGTAATAACACACAGTGTGTCCTGCAAGTTGTTTTGGCCGCACGACACACTGCCGTGTGTATTGATGTATGCTAAAGATTTTTTTCCTTTTTCACCAGAGTAAGAACGATTGTTATAACGCAGATTAGCTGACTCTCAAAGTAACCTTTAAGTCATAACAGAATATTATTGAACATTGATACAACCTATTTTTTTCAGTGGATGTGCTTTACTGGATCCTTACTTCATATACTAAATTTCAAGACAATCCATTACGAAATACATGTCATATAAAATCTATAAGTTTGATTGAATTTCTTCCTTTTTTTGTTTTCGCATCAAAAGTACGGAAACTTTATTTGACAGAAAAACATACTTAACTTTTATGGATTTTTTTTAATTTGGGCTAAAATATAAGTCACATGTGCAAAGTTATTGAA